TACTACTTCTACTCCTACTACAACTACTGCTACTACTACTACTACTACTGCTGCTGCTGCTGCTACTACTACTACTACTACTACTTCTACGACTATTATTGCGACGACAATTGCTACTACCATTACTGCCTCTACTCCGGCTACTTTTTCTACTACTCCGTCTGCCACTACTGTGGCTATTGCCATTTTTATGGTTACTGCCTCTATCATTGCTGATGTTTATGACTATCATGATGATGGTGATGATGATGATGATGATGGTGATGGTGATGGTGATGATGATGATGATGATGATGATGATGATGATGATGATGATGATGATGATGATGATGATGAGATTGTTCGATAATCCGGGGCTTTCGTGGGCCGTCTTGAGGGCCTCTTGTTTTGGGGCCCTGTTGGCCCGTCTTGGGCCTCTCATGGGCTCGAGAAAATCGTGCGGGAACATTCTGGCCAGAGGGCCCCAGAGGGCGCACGGGGAGCCCCACGAGATTTGAGAGCTTGGGGTCTGGGCCCATTAAGAATCAGGCTTGAGGGCTGAGACTCAGGGGAATGAGCAAGGAACCTGTGCAAGCCTCTTGGGGGTCGTTTTGGGGGCCTCTTGGGAGCCTTCTGGAACCTACTGGTGGCTTCTTGGGGGCCTGTGAGCACCCCCGCTCCCGAGCACCAAATGCGTCGGGAATGGCGGCCCCCCCCTGCCCCTTCCAGAGCCTCTTGTGGGCTCCTTGGGGGCCGGCGGAGGGTCTCATGTTTTAGAGGGATATTATTTGGCCTAGGTCGATCTGTATCTTACACTCCTTGTCACCCCAAGCAAGCGTGGGTCGGCAGATTCTGCTGCTGCGCATTCGTCGCGGATGCAGGCCCATGAGAAAATTCGAAGGGGCGCACGGGATGCCTTCGTGGATCCCGTACTTTGTTTTTTCGGTCGGCCTGGTGGTTCAATCGCGCTCCATGACACAGGCGTTTGACCATGACCTGCTAGTTGGTCCGTGATGGATGACACGTCGCGCTTTGGGGGCGCCGAAGGAGGCCTGGCCCCGCATCATCCTGGGCGGTTGGCGTGAGCTTGTGCATTGCGAGTTGTCTTCTGCATGCTCTTCAGACAGCACCTTTCCACCCTTGTGCTCTGCCGATACCTTTCGGCGTGAGCTTGTTCACGAGAGTCGCCGACTCTCTCTGCGGCTCCTGTACCCTGGACCTGTGGTACCATGGACCACCACGGCCCTGTGGCACTCGCTCCTGCTACCTGTACGATGACACAACGTTGCACTTCGTCTCAGCGTCGCTCTTCTCGCTCTCCGTGATCCCTGACGCAACTTGGTTGCAAGGCGCGTCACCTCTCGCCGCCAACTCGAGGCTGGTGTAAATGATGAGCCGTTGAGGGCAGCACCAACCACAGCATTTTGTTTCGATTGGTACTCCGCCACCCGGTTCATGGAAAAGGCGCTCCTTTGCAAGTACGTCGGCAAAGGCACCGCCTGATTCCGATGCTTTGCCTCCTCCCGGCCTCGTTCTGAGGCTGCGCCCCCCCTTTTCTCCCCCATGTCTGGTTAATTCAAGCTTCGCGCGGCCCGCTTAGCTTCGACCGGAAGAGGTGCGCTTTCGACCCGCGAATCAAACAATTGTTCGCGAGAGTCGCCCACTGCATGCTCTTCACTCCCGCGAACACCGCCATTCCATCCTTCGGCCACGCGCATAGGGGTAGGGGGAGGGGGGAACGCTCCCTGGAAGCACCCAGGTTTCTCAGAGGACGCGGGCCTTGTCTATTGATGTTGGGCCCGCGCCTTAGCCTTCTTCTGGGCAGCCTTCTCCTTTCCCCCTACCAACATTTCGGGAGCGGCCAAGAGTGGTGTGAAGACTAGGGTGGGGGGGTGAACATCATGGCCAGGGCCATGCTATCTCCCCAGATTTCATGGCCGATCTTTTTATTTCAATGCTTTCCCTGGTCCCCCTGATGTGCGCACGTGCCTCGGGCCATGATTTGCATGCCGTGAATATTTTTCCACCCAAGGGATAACGCATGTTACCCCCCCCTCCCCTGTAGCGGTAACGCCCTGGCCCCGATCCAGCGCGCGATCCCGGGCAGCCTAGGGTTTGTTGTGCACGCGGGCGTGCATTATGGTGCACGCAGGCAGTGCGGTGTGCACGGACGTTCTGGCGCGTTCTGGCGCACGCATCTGCCGTTGCAGCAGCAACCGTGGTGTACGCAGGCTTAAAGGGTGTACGCAAGCATTGTGGCGTACACATCACAAGCCTTGTGGTTGACACAGGCGCCGTGGTGTACACAATCGCTGTACTGCGCAAGGCCGCTACGATGTAAACGTGCGTTGTGGGCTATAAGAGACTTTCCTTTTTCAGGGTCTGGCGATAACCTGGTTTACCGGGTTCGCCCCCCCATCCCTCCCCCAGGATCACCTAACTTAGCCAGTTGTGCAGGTCCATGGGGGGGGCGCAGGGAAGTCGCAGGGAACGCTGTGTTCAATGGTACGTTGGTGTTCACCACAGCATGGTTGTGTTTGGAAGCACGTTGGCGAATCGTTGGGGCTTGGAGTGGCACAGGGACGACGATGACGACGACGACTTACGACGACAGACTACGACAGACGACGACCGACGACGACAGACAACGACAGACGACGACAAGCGACGACGACGACGATGACGACCGACGTCGTTCATTGCGTCGTGCACAAGCAGCGAAGCGATTTGGTGCGCGAATTTGCTGTTGATGCCGCAGGATATGTTGTGTACGCAGGCGTTGTGTTGCGCATAAGTGCACGCAGGTCGCGCGGTGCACGCGGGCATCGTGATGCAGCAGGCAATTTGGTGAAGACAGGCTTTTTGGTGTGCGCAATTGTTCCTGCAACATCAGTTATCATTCGCGCAGGCATCCCACAAGCACTGTGGCGCACGGTGTGCCACACCTTGTGTACACGGGCGCTGCGGTGTACACGTCCGTTATTGTGCACACATTCGCTATGGTGTACACGTGCGTTGTGGGCTCAAAAAGACGGGACCGTTCCCTGCGGAAGAAAGAGTAATAATTCGATTTGGAACGTTCGGATCCCCTGCGGCTTTCTGGAGTTCGGTCCCGCCGGGGGCCCTGAAAGTGTACGCAGTTCTGTGGTGTACACAAGCAGTTTGGTGCATGAGTATGGTACTGAAGCAACACGCGTGGTGCACATAGGCGTCGTCGTGTACGCAGGCAGTGTGTGTGTGTGTGTGGTGTGGGCACAGCTGCTGTGCACACGGCTGCTGTAGTGTACACAGGCATTGTGGTGTACACAAACATTGTTGTGTAGACAGGCGCTGCGGTGTACACAGGTAGCTGTGGTGTACAAAGGCGTCGTGGCGCACGTTTGACAGGCGCTGTGGTGTACACGAACATGGTCGGCCAAAAACGGGGGGGACCGCACCCCGGCCCTCAAAATCAATAATCACAAATCACCTACACATTGAATTTCATACATTCGGGCCGGGCCCCCGGGGGTTTTCCAGATTTGGGCCCCGGTGGGACCTTGGAGGTGCACCGAAGCGCTGTAGCGCAAATGTTCGCCATGCGCAGTGGTGCACGCGGCTCTTGTGGTTTGCACAAGCACCGCAGTGTACACAGGCGCTGTGATGCACACAGAAGCCTTTGCTGCAGCAGCACCTGTGGTGTGCAAGACCGTTGTGGCGCACGCATGTTTTGTAGTACTCACAGGCAATGTGGTGTATGCGTGTTCTTTAGATAGTGTATACAAGACTTCGCGGCTACGCTTAGCAACCGCATCCTGCGTATTCCAATGCGAGCTGTCCAGACATCCTTAGGAATTCTCAGACGGCGCCTGCATCGTCGCAGCACCAATAGTAGCATCGCGGCAGCATTTTAGCAGCTGTAGGGGCTGCAGCACCAGTGCGCGCGGGCATATGCAGGGCTGCCCACAGCGCGAAGGTTAGGTTATCGGCCAGCCCCCCTCTCCCCCCCCCTCCCCAGATAACCCGGGTTATCGCCGATTCCCCAAAAAGCGGTTTGAAATGGGCCCACGCATATCTTCGTTTTCTTTCGTCTTCTTCCCTCTTGACTTCCGTGCACACAGGCGTTGTGTGTAACATTTGCTGTGGGATCAAAATGTCCAAACATTCTTCGAAGTACCAATAATCACGACAGATCATAATATTGGATATGATACATTCGGGATGTAATTTCCAGCACGTTGGCTCCGTCGGGACCGTGGAGGTGTACGCAAACTTTGTGGCACACGCAGGCAATGTGGTGCATGCGGAGGGGTGCTGAAACAGCAGCTGCGGCGTCAATAATTACAGGCGTTGCGGTGCAGACAGCTGCTGTGGTGTAAATCGGCGTTGCTGTGTGTATAAAGGTGTCTTCCTGGGGCCAGAAATCACTGGCAATCACTTGCTGGGTGTATAATCACAATCAACGCAGATATTGAATTTGATACATTCTGGCTCCGACGTTTTTCCGGAGCTTGGCCCCGTCGGTATTGCCTTCAGGCGTGCACGAACTTTGCAGTGTGCGCAGGCGCTGTGGTGCACAGGGGGTGCTGAAACAGCGGCTGTGGTGCACGCGGGCGCCGTGGTGTGCGCAGTTCGCGCGAAGTACAAAGGCGTCGTTGTGCACGCGGATGTTATGGTGTACGCAGTCGCCGTGGTGTACAGCCCTGGTGCACAAAGGCAATGAACAGCCCCCGTGCTGCGTACACAGGCGCGGTGGGCTGGGGCGGCGACGACGACGACGACGACGACGACGACGACGACGACGACGACGACGTAGGCGGCGCGCCCCAGGGGGTGCGCGCCGCGTCCCCAGATACCCCTACCCCCCACGCCCCCTCCCAGGTAACATGCGTTATCCCCGAGATATTAAACAGATGCTCTCGCCCCCCTTTGGGACGCCCCGAACACTGTGCGCGCCGGCAAAGCCTCGCGCCTCGCCTGCACCGCTCCCGACTTGCCCCCCTTCGTCTCGCGCGGAGCGGCGCGGCGGCCGGGCCGGCCAGGAGCCGCAGAAACCCCAGAGGGGCTGGCGGCGGCCCAACGGAGTGCCGCAGGCGATCCGAGCTCTCGGGGGCAGCAGCTGCCTTGAGTCGGGACTGTCCATCTACAGGAGGAATAGTCAAAAATAGTCAAAAAATAGGGTGGGACGATGTTTTGACCATTTTTGTTTTTGATAGTTTTAGAACATATTTTGACTATCTTTTAATATTTTGCCGAAGATCGGGTGCCTTGGGTTTGTTTGGTTTCGATGGTTTAGCTATGGACGTCCTGGGGTCTCAGGGTTGGGTTTCTTGTTGAAGATTTCTTGTGGACTGGCCTCTACTGTACTGTCGAGGCTGATTCCCGTCGGACCGAGGTAGAAGGTCGAGCTTGGTTCGGGGAGTGTACCCTCTACAGGAGGAGTATCAAAAATTGTCAAAATAAGTTAGATGGGGACGATCATTGATTATCTTTTGCTATTTTTGGATATGTTTCGAATGTTTTTTATTTTTCGTCCAAATTCTGCCTGTAGGAGGAAACGCCCGACCTGACAGTTGCCGAAGATCGGTTGCTGCCGAGGCTGATACCAGTCGGACCGAGGAAGAGGGTCGAGGTTGGTTCGGGGAGGCTGCCCTGATGTTCCTCGTGCTTGCTGGACACTCTTGTGCGTCCTGGGAGGGTAGCCTTGAATGTCCTGTGTTTTGGCCGTCCCAGGGTCTCATGTTCTTGTGGGGATGTTCTTCTGTCTCAGGTCCGGCTGCAGTAACCGCGAGGGGTCTTTTCTTTTGGTCCCCCTTTTTCCTTTCGGCAGGGAATAAGCTCCGCCTCTCCTCTTCCTCCTCCTTCCTTCTCCCCCTCATCCTCCTCCTTCCTCTTCCTCCTCTTAGTAGTCGTAGACGTAATAGTAGTCGTAGTCGTAGAGTAGTCGTCGTTGTCGTCGTAGTAGTAGTAGTAGTAGTAGTAGTAGTAGTCGTAGTAGTAGTAGTAGTAGTCGTAGTAGTCGTAGTAGTCGTAGTAGTCGTAGTAGTACTAGTGGTAGTAGTAGTAGTAGTAGTAGTAGTAGTAGTAGTAGTAGTAGTAGTAGTAGTAGTGGTAGTGGTGGTGGTAGTAGTAGTAGTAGTAGTAGCCGTAGTCGTAGTAGTCGTAGTAGTCGTAGTAGTCGTAGTAGTCGTAGTAGTCGCAGTAGTCGAAGTAGTAGTAGTAGTAGTAGTAGTAGTAGTAGTAATAGTAGTAGTAGTAGTAGTGCTACTACGACTACTGCTTCCCGTACTACCAGTACTACCACTTCTACCACTACTACGATTATTAAAGCTGGTGCTACCACTATTATAATTACTAGTAGTAGTAGTAGTAGTAGTAGTAGTAGTAGTAGTAGTAGTAGTAGTAATAGTCGTAGTAGTAGTAGTAGTAGTAGTAGTAGTAGTAGTAGTAGTAGTAGTGCTACTACGACTACTGCTTCCCGTACTACCAGTACTACCACTTTTACCACTACTACGATTATTGAATCGCTTCGCTCATTCCGCCGGCCCGTGATATGGCATCGCTGGTTTTTGTCTGTGTGTTCGTTGCCCATGTTGCGCTCTTGGGGGCGGGTGTCGTTCGGACGCGTTGCGTGGGGAGTTTTGATGGTGAAGCAGTTCCCTGGGGGTCGTCTCTCGATGGGGCGAAATAGAGTCGTCGTCAAGATGCTTCTTTGGGGGGCCTCTTGGGGTCTGTTGAGAGGCCGTTCGGGGGCGCCTGGGAGACATGTTTGAAGCCTTCTGGGGCTTCTTTTGGGCCTCCTGGGAGTCTCCTGGGGCCTCTTGGCGACATCTTGGGGCCTCTTGGAGGCCTCTTGGGGCCTCTTTGGGACCTCCTGGGCGCCTTCTGGGACGGAGGGCTCCATTTTTGAGTTCTCGGTATCCCTCCTGAGTCCCTCTTGGGCCCGTCTTGGGGCCTCTTGGTCCGTCTTGGGCGGCACTTGGGCCGTCTTGAGGGCTCTCTTGGGTCGTTTCGGCGCCGTCTTGGGAGCTTCGTGGGCCGTCTTGGAGCGGTCTTGGGGGCCTCTTGGGCCGTCTTGGAGCGTCCGGAAGCCGAAAAAGCCAGAACACAAAAAACATCGAAAAAACCAATGAAAATCAACGATTTTGGCCTCTTGGGGCTCTCTTCGGAGGCCTCTTGGAAGGCTCTTGGGGCGTCTTGGAGGCCTCTTGGGCTGTCTTGGGGGCCTTTTGGGCCGTCTTGGGGTCATCTTCGGCGTCTTCGAGCGCTCTTTGGGCGTCTCGGGGGCCTCTTGGGCAGTCTTGGGGGCCTCTTGGGGCACTCTGAGCGCGCTCTGGGGAGCCTGAGAGGCCGCACCCAGAAGGAAAACCATCTCTGAGTAGACTGGTGGTCGGGCGGCGGTCGGGCGGCGACCGGGCGTTGGTCGGGGTACTTTTCGCCGGGGGACCCCCAGGGGCCGCCCCGCGCGCGCGAACTAGAAATACTGTTAATACTGTTAACCAGTTACCGGAGATCTTAGCACGCCCTGGCCCGTTGGGCCGGCGAATTAAAGCTGGTGCTACCACTATTATTATTACCACTACTACTACTACGACTACTACTACTACTACTACTACTACTACTACTACTACTACTACTACTACTACTACTACAACTGCTTCTACTACCACCACCTACTATTTTTATTACTACCTATGCGACCACCCTGCGGGTGATAATGAGGTTGGGGGGGGGGGGCCCAGCAATGGGCAACGATGGAGATTGTTGCGTTGCCGCTCGCTCTTGGGAGCCATGGTGTTGAGTTCTTTACGTCACCCTTCGCTCTTCGGCGCCTTGGTACCCCCCCCCCCCCGGGGAACTGTGCCCACTGCCGGCGAAGGACGTGGAGTTTTTTTTTTGTTTGAGGCCTCCAAAGGCCCCTGTCGTCGCCACGGCTTTAATCGCCTCGAAACATTGCTCAACGGCGGCCCCTCGGCGGTCGAGGACGACGCACCGCCATCGTAGGTCTTTGTTTGTTTTTGCGTTCTCGAGCTCGCGCCGTCATCCGAAGGCACCGCCGGCCGAAGCAGGGTAAAAGACTGGAAAGCCGGCGAAAGTGCGCCTCATCTGGTCAGGGAATACGGAAACGCTAGGAAAGCCAGGCGCAGCCCGTACCCCCTGCTCTCACAGGCGATGTCGCTATCGTCGATGTCGCGATCGATCTCACTACCGATATCACGATCGATCTCACTACAGATCGCAGTATCGATCTCTCACGACCGATCCGATTTTATCGATGTGTCAATCGATCTCACTATCGATCTCACAATCGATCCGACGATCGATCGCACAATCTCACCATCATCATTCTTTCACCGTATCATCATCATCATCCACATCATCATGTTCATCAACATTACCATCACCATCGGGGCAGCATCGTCATCATCATCTTCATCAGCATGATCATCAACAACATCCTCAAAATCAACATCATCACCGTTCACATCATCATCATCACCATCATCATCACCAGGACACCATCATCATCGCCATCACCTTCATCATCATCGTCATCATCATCAAACTAATCATCATCATCATCATCATCATCGGGACACCGACGGGACACCGGCGGGACACCGGCCCCGGGAAAAGAAACATTTGGTCCGGCCGCGCCTCATCCGGAGGCGGGACACCGGCGAGACACCGCGCGCCACCGGCCCCCTGAGGAATCATGTGGTCCGGCCGCGCCTCAGCCGGAAGAGACTTTCTTCTCGCCCGCCCACGCACTTTCGCTATGCCCGCACGCACAGCACGCACGAACACGGAACCGAAACCGATTTCCCGGTAAGGGGGCTGTCCGTTCCACTTCGATTTCACCCCCCAACTTCCGACTATCATTGCTTCTTTTCCAACGGCTACGACATTACCCCGGCTACATCTAGTACGGTTATTACGATTACGATTTTTACTAATGTTACTACTATTATTTTTATTACTACTACTCTTACGATGATTCGTATTATTATTACTACTACTACGACGACTACCACTTCTACGATTACGACTATCAGTGCTATACTACTATTACTAATACTACTACTACTACTATTATTACTACTACTACAACTACTACTACAGCTACTACTACTACTACTACTACTACTACTACTCTTACCATAATTATTACAACTACCACTACTATGTCTAGTACTACTGCTACTACTACCACTATTACTACTACTTCTACTACTACTGATACGACTACTACTGCTACTACTACGAGTACTACTACCACTACGACAACCACTACTACTACTACTACTACTACTACTACCACTACTACTACTACTACTACTACTACTACTACTGCTACTGCTACTGCTTCTATTACTACAGCTACTACTACCACTACTACTACTACTACTACTGCTACTACTACTACTACCACGACTATTACGACGACTACTACTACTACTACTAGTACTACTACTACTACTGCTACTAGTACTGCTACTACCATTGTTATTGTTACCACCTTTACTACTACTACTACTACTACTACTACTACTACTACTACTACTCAGACGAGTACTAGTACTATGGTTAGTATCAGAACTACTACTACTACTACTACTACTACTACTACTACCACTACTACTACTACTACTACTACCACTACTATTACTATTACTACTACTTCTATCACCACTACTACTATTGTTACCACTCCTACTTCTACTACTTCTTTTTCTACTACTACTACTACTACTACCTACTACTACTACCACTGTCAATGCAATCGCAATTACTTTACTACTGCCGGTACTACGGCAACTGCTACTATTACTACGACTGTCACTTCAACCGTTGTTCGTATTCATATTCTTATTGTTGTAATCGCGACTACTTGTACGGATGCTGTTACTATCACAACGACGACTAGTACGGCCACTACTAGTGCGTCTGCTACTACTATGACCACTATACTGCCACTATCACTATTACTACGACAACGACGGTGGCGACGACGACTATGACTACTACTTCTACGACGACTACGACAACGAGTACGAGTACGACTGCGACACTACTTTCGCTATTCGTATTA